ACATAGATTCAAGGTTATTAGGGTTGCATGTACACTTAGGAAGTGTTAGAATGCTCAAAACCCATCAGGATGGACCCCAGGACCGGTCGATAAGGCCGAAGGGTATGTCACCACCTGGATAAGGTAGGCAATATATGATTTATATGTTTATGCACTAGAATGGTATATGGTAGAAGTAGGGGTGAAATAGTCCCTGGTACCGGTCAACAGGACCGAAGGGGTAGGCCAGCACCCTGATATGCTTGGGAAGTTACCGGTCGACATGGATGAAGGGGTAGGCCGGCACCCTGATATGTTAGGCAAGTTACCGGTTGAAAGACACCGAAGGGGTAGCTACTACCCGGTTATGTATGTGCTATGTATGGTATATGGTATAATGGGGGAACTCACTAGGCTTTGTGCTTACGGTTTTCAGTTTTTGTTTTAGGTCCTTCTTCTTCGAAGGGAAAGGAGCCGGCTCGATAGCAGTGCATCACACCACTATTTTCCGCACTATGATACTCTTGGGATTGTACTCTGACATTGTTACTATATTATGTCATGCTTTTAAAATATATGTTCTATGGCTTTGAGGAAATGAAATAACATGATGATGCTTTCTTTAAACTGTTTTATGAGTTGTTACATCAAGTAATTCAAATTTTTGGTCATGATTTTTGGGACGTTACACTCATGCTGGAGTATTGACACGTGCACGAATTCGAGCCAAAAATTAAGTGCTTAATGTTCATCAGGAATTTTATATCTTTAACGAGTTCGTTTTCAAACTTGAACCAAAAATAGTTAAGGTTGCATTAGAACACTCAGATTGGGTTGTTGCAATGCAATCTGAACTGGCTGAATTTGAACGAAACAATGTTTGGAGGTTAATTCCTAAGCCAAAGGATGTTTCGTTAATTAGTTTAAAATGGATTTTCAAAAATAAAACTGATAAAGAAGGAAATATGATTCGAAATAAGGCAAGATTAGTCGTTAAAGGTTACTCTCAACAAGAAGGTGTCGATTATGAGGAAACCTTTTCCCCTGTCGCAACATAAAGATTTAGATGTGTATCAAATGGACGTCAAGTGTGCATTCAACAACGGAGTTTTGGAGGAAACTGTCTATGTCGAACAACCACCTGGTTTCGTCAATGATAAGTATCCTGAAAACTGTTATATTTTAGATAAGGCAGTCTATGGGTTGAAACAAGCACCTCGTGCCTGGTACACAACCTTGACCAATATTTTGAAAATTGCTAAATTTAAACAAGGATCAGTTGATCCCACATTATTTCGAAAGAAAGTTGGGAATCACCTGATGCTTGTTAAAATTTGTATTGATGACATAAATTTTTGTTCGACTGACCCTTCGTTATCTAAGGAATTTGGGCAGCTTATGAAAAGCCAGTTTGAAATGAGTATGATAGGGAAAGTTAATAATATTATGGTTTTTTGTCAAAGAAAGGAAGGCATCTTTCTTAATCAGGAAGAATATACGTGCAACCTGCTTGAAAGATTTGGCATGACGAATAATACTAAAGTGAAACTACCTATGGTAGTTGGAACTTGCTTGAACCCTTTATTGGACAAGTCAGCTGTGGACTTAACAACATATGGAAGCGTGATAGGTTCACTTTTATACTTAACTACAAGTCGAACTGATATGATGTTTGATGTGTGTAATTGTGCTAGGTACCAATAGAACCCAATCAAACCCCATCTCAATGTTATGAAGAACATATTTCGCTACCTCAAAGGAACATTTTCGTTGGGACTATGGTATCCATCGAAAACAAGATTATTTATACAAGCATTCTCAGATGCAGACCTAGGTGGCTATCAACTTAATCGAAAGAGCACGACATGAGGATGTCAATTCTTGGATGGCAAGTTAGTGAGTTGGCAATCGAAGAAACAAACGTGTGTTTTGATTTAAACTGCAGAAGCAGAGTATGTGGTTGCTACAGCTTGCACATCTCAAGTTATTTGGATACAAAGTCAACTACTCAATTATTCAATCAATATGAAGAAAATTCATTTGTATTGTGACTCTCAAAGTGCCACTCACATCGGCTTTAATCCAGTCCAAAATTTAAAAACCAAACACGCTACTCTTCACTATCACTTCATAAAAGACCATGTAGAAGACGGGAACATTCAGGTCCATTTTGTAAAAACAACGGATCAAATTGCAAATATTTTTACAAAAACTTTAGATGAGAAGTCATTTTTAAGGATTTTGAATGATTTGGGGATGATCGAAACAAGTTTTGTTCCAGGTTCTTCTTGATCGAAAAGGTGTCGATTCAATTGATGTTTTTACGAATCGATCAGAGGTTAATGTTCATGTTCAGTGTTCGCATCCGTTCGCATTCGAAATTCCCCTGAATCATTCCGAACTCAATTCGCTTTGCGGGGAAGAAAGCAGTTCGATGTGCAACATACTTGTTGGTTGCTAACTGCTAGTTCGAACGTCTTTTGGTAACATTTTATAAGTTTGTTTTTGTTTCTTTTGTTTCAAACATTAAAAATCCAAAAAGATTTTCTTAATTTCGTCTTTATGTTTTGAGTACAAAAATCCAAAAGGATTTTCTTATTTTTGTATCTGTTTTTCAAAAACCAAAAATCCAAAAAGATTTTTTTTTTGTTTTAATTCTTATTGTGCTTAATTCTTCATGGCTCATTGTAACAACATGTTGTTGTGGCGTATACTCAACGATCATATTCAGAAAGGGAATAGGTAGTAATTCGAACTAATGTAGTAGTTAGAAGTCCCTACAACCATGCTGTTGTATGTTGACCTCAGGCCTCATAGACTTTATGTGTTCGAAGCCATAATGGATCTCTCACTAAGAGTGTTTCTTCCCAATTAGTGAATATAGCCTAATTGCGAAGGAATACTTTTAGTGAGAGATCCGTTATGGCTTCAAGCATCATCTACTTCGTTACCACCATTTTCATCACCTATCCCAACTTTACTACTAGTTTCCACCATTTCACCCACTTACTCTACAATAATGTGTGAACTCATTACTACCATTTTCTCATCTCAATCTACTGAAGCAGAAAGAGTAATTCTTGATGTCGAACTGAATGATGATGATGTGATGGTTTCTTTTTTTGATTTACAGTTCGACACAAAAGAGGATAATGTTCCTGATGACATGATCATGTGAGGTAAACAATTCAAAATCATTCACTCAAAAATCACTAATCTTCTCCAAATTCAAGCTGATACTGGGGGTAAGAATTTTGTTACTGGAGTCGAGATGGAATACTTATTGATATTATAGGAGAATCTTCTTCGCACCATGGTTGAAAGTCTTGAAGAGAAACAGGTCGAATGGTCGCGTGTTCACTCTAAGAGTTTTGAGTACGAAATTCAAAAGCTTCATGATGGTCCCAAGGAGCGTCATGATATTTTTGTGGAACAAGTAACGAAGGTGAAAGAATTTGTGGATCTTCAGTTGGTTAAACTTAAGTTAGAAATGGCCAAAGAAGTAGAGAAAATGGAGAAAAACTATGTAGTGTTACACAGTAAAGTTGATGTTGTTGCAGATGCTATCACGACATTAGTTGAATTCAATACTGCTTATTCGACCATTCTTGAAGCGAAATCGGAGTAGGATTCTAAGGTGTTTGTCAAGTTGGAAGAGTTCCTATCAAGAATTAAGGAGTCCATTTCGACAGTTGATCTTTTGACTCAGTCAATGTGTCTCAGGAGTCCATTTCTCAATTGATTTAGAAGATTGAGACGAATATCAAAACTTGGCTAGCACGCATCCTTGAATTGATACTTCGCTTACTAATGAATGCTCATCGTGTTGTGCAAGTGTCGCAAGGGGGTGATAAAGGATGTGGTGATGTTGGGTCTTCTAAAGATTCAGAAAAAGGATCAGTGGTTGGAAAAGTGATTTCGAATCAGATACCCACTTCACTTCCTATTTCGTTGTCTACAACTTCAACAACAACCACAACAAGACCAACCACAAAAGGGATCGTTATAAATGAAAAAGATGGAGGTTCAAGTTTGATTTTTGTACCACCACCTTCGAAAGACGATCAAAGGGATAAAGGAAAAGGTATTGTGGTGACTTCTTCTAAAGAGGAAAAGAAAAAGCAACAGGCCTTGGAGATTGAGATGCAAAGGCAACTAAACAACATTATGAGGTGAAGGCAGAATAACCCACCTGGCTTGAATAAGGGCGATCCCAGCAAGTAGTGGTGTTATGAAACCATTGAAGATATAATTTCGATTGGGGTGAACGACTACCTTCATAAAGTGTCGAAAAAGAATTATGACATTGAGAACTCGGAATTCATTCAGCTTGATTTTCCTGTGAACCATATGTTGTTTACTTCTTTTCAGTTCAAAATTACAGAAAACTTCAAAGAGAAAGATGAGTTTAAAAGACTCAAGATGCGATTTTACGTTGTATTGGAGCAAAATGTAAAAGAAGTGTGGTCACCTATAAAAATTTTGAAGGTGATGTCCATCACTTGAGAAAACCTATTCGAAGGTCTTTTACAAAACATTCGATATGTGGTCTTTAGGGAAAACAATGTGGTTCGTGAATTTTCAATTGCTGACTTCCCTCTCATGAACTTGAATGATTTGGTGACGGTGATAAGGATTTTGAGCAATTTTGATGTTATGAAGTTGCCTGAGTCGAACAAAAATGAAGTCATTATTGGTTCTTCTCACATTAAGTTTTTCATAGGTAACTACTATGATTGCCTAACAATAACTGATATTAAGCTTGCAATGGTTGTTAACAAGACTTTGAAGGCACCTCAATCTTTGCTGAAGGGGAAGGATAACATTGAGAAGTTTTAAGATGGAGAAATAATACATCAACCATTTGGTGTGGTGTTTGGAGGGAAAAACAAGAATAGGAAGATGACAAAGTTCTTGTTTTAAGTATGTGATGTTGAGAGGTATACGAATTCTCAATATTCAAGTCTTCTTATTTAAATCAATAATTGCAAAAGGAATGAAGTTGATGACAAGGTTGAGATTTGAAAGATGATTATGTGGTATATGGAGGTTCGCAATGTACTTCTACAGACTATGAAGCTGATAACATGATTTCGTATTTTCTCACTAAGGGGGAGATTGTAGTGTTCGAAATGTTCTAAAACCAAGAATTTTTTGCCCAACAAGATCCAATACTAAATTTTTTTTGGAATGTGATTTTCTTATGGATATCTTTCTGATTTCTTGTTACCCTAAATTATATCCAACCATACTTGTTCGTGACTACACTGGTCATCTAAGTAATTTTGATCAATTCAATCACACTTATGTTAAGTTGTGGTATTGAGAAAAATTGAGCCTATCTTTCGAAATCAATGGAAAAGAATCCCTTCAATTCTCATTAACGAGCATTCGATTGTATTTCACAGGAAACCACGCAAACAGTTCGTCATCTCTCTTGATGTCGAATGAAGAGATATTTTCCCGGGATCCAGCTGCTTTCGTATCAAATGCTATTTGATATCACTAATCATACATTTTTTTTATTAATTTGCTTCTCACTCATTCTTTGGCACACAATTGCATGGGAATCCTTGAGGTTTTGGGTAATACCAACTCGAAACCTAGATTTCGCAAAGTCTGGCATATGATTTTCCTTTCAAATCCAAAAAGCGAATGAGCCTTACCTCAATGCGAAGGAATGATGTTATCTTGGTGTCAAAACAAGAAGATGTCCTTGCTCACAGTTCGAAATAAGTGGCGGTTCTTATCCGATTGGGAACAAAGAAAGATTTGGCAGACATGACGGTTCAGAATCTTCACGGGATTTGAGGAAAATTTGATGATCAATTTTATGACATGGGGATTTTCATCACCTATCCCAAATTTACTACTAGTTTCCACCATTTCACCAACTTACTCCACAATTATGTATGAACTCATTACTACCCTTTTATCATCCCAATCTACTGAAGCAAAGAGAGTAATTCTTGATGCTGAACCGAATGATGATGATGATGTGATGGTTTTTTTTTTCTGATTTGAAGTTCGATACAGGATATGATAACGTTCCTGATGACATGATCATGTGAGGTAAACAATTCAAAATCCTTCACTCAAAAATAATTAATCTTCTCCAAATTCAAGCTGATATCGGGGGCAAGAATTTTGTTACTGGAGTCGAGATGTAGTACTTATTGCGATTGTAGGAGAATCGTCTTCGCACCATGGTTGAAAGTCTTGAAGAGAAACAAGTCGAATGGATGTGTGTTCACTCTAAGAGTTTTCAGTACGAAATTCAAAAGCTTCGTGATGTTGCTAAGGAGCGTCATGATATTTGTGTGGAACAAGTGACAAAGGTGAAAGAATCTGTGGATCTTTAGGTGGCTAAACTTAAATCATAAATGGCCAAAGAAGTAGAGAAAATGGAGAAAAGCTATATAGTGTTACACAGTAAAGTTGATGTTGTTGCAGATGCTATCACGACATTGGTTGAATTCAATACTGCTTATTTGACCATTCATGAAGCGAAAATGGAGTAGGATTCTAAGGTGTTTGTCAGTTGGAAGAGTTCCTATCAAGCATTAAGGAGTCTATTTCGAAAGTTGATCTTTTGACTTAGTCAACTGTGTCTCGGGAGTCCATCGACGAATTATTTGAATTTAAACCAGTAACTAATAAGAAACTACCACGTATTGCATTGGTTATTTAACTGGTCACCGTAAAAATCGCCACGTCATAAAAGTGATCATCACGTTTTCCTCAAATCCCGTGAAGATTCTGAACCGTCATGTCCGCCATATCTTTCGTTGTTCCTCAAATGGAGCAAAACTATGTACGTTTTACATGTATCAATCGGATCATATATAATAAGTTTTTAATTATTTAAAATTTCAATCGTTAAGTAAAAAAAACATTCTTACTTATTTTTTTAACGTATCGATATAAATTCGAGTTTTTTTATGTTTCGACATAAAATTTCAGGGTTGGTTATGAGGATTTAAATATCCTCAAATGCCCTGGACGAGCCATAAAAAAGTCGTTATCGTTATTATTAGTTTTTTATTTCTAAATAAATATATATGCATATATAACATAAAATTGGCCCCAAAAACAAATAATCTCTATGCAGTTGTCCACTTTCACCCTCCCTCCGCGCTACCCATATAAATTTTGAATTTGTTTTTGTGCTTATTTTGTTTAGGTTTTCTACGTATTGTTTTGATACATATAATAAATTTTTATTTAAGACAAAATTGCAAGAATGGTCCATGTGGTATGTCAAAACTCGCATGTATGGGCCAAAAACGTTTGGACTAGCACAAGTGGTCCAAAAGTTTCATTTTCTTGCGAGTTTGGTCCAATTTGCTTTAAACTTTTTTGTAAAGACGATTTTCCCGTATTATTTAAATTTCCATTTTTGTTTTATTACCATCAATTAAAAATAAAATAGTCTCTCTCTCTCTCTCTCAAAATAGCCACCTGACGAACAAAATTGGGGATTTTCGGCCGTCTTAGAGAGAGAAAGATTATTAGAGATATGGACAATCGATGAAATCAAGAAGGAGAGTTATGGATCTAGAAAACGCCGCCTGTAGCACAACCACGACCACCTGAAGCTGGTAGGAGGGAGTTGAAGAGACACCATCAGAGATGAAACGAGAGAGAAACGTAGATCGGATATCGGAGCTACAACCCTTCACAAACGTAATGAGTGCTTGGTGGGCAACTGAGAAGACGAAGGAAGAAGGTCGAGAAAGAGAAGTGTCTTTGGTGGATGTGTGATTTTACGGTGAATAAAGATTGAGAACAACTGAGAGAAAATGGAAGTGTGGGAAAAAGATGAATAGTTTGAGTCTTAGAGAGAGAGAGAGAGAGTGTGTGTGTGTGTGTGTGTGTGTGAGTGAGGGTATTTTACTTTTATTTTATTTTTAATTGTTTTTTAGTTGTTGGTAATAAAACAAAAATTAAAAATTAAATAATAAGGACAAAATCGTCTTTACAAAAAAGTTCAAACCAAATTGAACTAAATTCGTAACAAAATGAAGCTTTTTGACCGCTGATGCTAGTCCAAACCTTTTTGGTCAAAACATGGAAGTTTTGACATACCACACAGACCATTTTTTCAATTTTTTCTTTATTTGATGGTACAAATTTGTCCTTTATATCATTATATACTTATAAATGAGGCATTTTTTCAAGCACCTCATGCATTTGAAACTTTAACGACAAGAAATTTCAAACCAAAATTTTCATTTTTAATACTCATAAAACATATGTCTCATCATTAATTCTCAAAATCAATCAACAAGTTTTCAAAACAATTATTCAAATCCAGGATCCACAACACATTGCTCCATAACAAGGGTGTGTGTACAATCACGCCGGCGCCTTCCCGCGATCCTCTGAGGTACCTGAAACACATAACACATAACATGGTAAGCACAAATTCTTAGTGAGTTCCCCAAAATACCATCTACACATATTAGCCACTCGAGGTTATAACTCTGATGGACCCTCCGGCCCGATGTGTCTCAATGGGACCCTCCGGTCCCACAGATCGTTGGACCCTCTGGTCCGGTCTGGATGAGAACCCTCCGGTCTCACTACTCGTTGGACCCTACTGTCCGGTCTAAGTGAGGACCCTCCGGTCTCTAGTTCGTTGGACCCTCTGGTCCGGTCATAATATAACATAGTTCGTTGGACCCTCTGGTCCGGTCTAAATATCACATAATATAGCATACATCACATATCACACATAAAATTCATATCTCAGGCAAGCACATAAGACCCTCTGGTCACACATAATTACCACCCTAGGTAAAGTATAGTGAGAAGACTCACCTCTGGTAAACTCGGATGATCTCGAACTCGAACACTGATCTAGCCTCCGCCTAATCACATACATAAATTACCTCTAATTAACAATGGCTCTCAAAGGCTAGACTATTCCCTTCCTATGCTCTCTCAGATGGGTAAAATACCATTCTACCCTTCCTGACCTCTTTCACTCATTTTAACCAAACCCTAAAGTCAACAAAAGTCAACTCCAATTTTGACCAGACTCGTCGAGTGCACTCGGGAGACTCGTCCAGTCCAGTCGATCAATGGCAACCCCAACAATCTCCAACTCGACGAGCTAACCCTTAACTCGTCGGGTCACCACCTGGCTCAGTTCATCGGGACAAAACCCTGGGCTACTCGCCGATTCATTGGCTCGACTCGGCGAGTCTATTAAGACTCTTTTGCATTCAGTCGATTTAGTGCAAGATACTTTCACAAACTTCAGATCTATGCACTAAAGGCTCATTAATCACGTAAAGGTTCGACCTTTATGACCATGCATCACTCATTTAGCTCTATTTGACAAAATAACCCTCATAATGGTGTCTTAAGCTCAATATTCTTATGTGACTGCATAAAGCTGGGTTCTTAGGACTCTCTGGACCTCTCAAGGTCCAGATCTGATGTCTAAGCCTCAAAGGGACTTCACATATTTCATAACTCAACTTAAAAGAGGGTAAAGAAACCCTAAATTCATGAGATCTACTAATCAAACGAAAACGGGTATGAACTCATACTTTCAACAACAGCCTTGAATGAAATAGTGAAGGATTTGAGTCCCTTCTAGACAGCTAAGCTTGAACCCTCTCCTTCTTCCTTGCAAGAATGCACCAAAATGAAGAAATTAGCTCCCCCTCTCTTTAAGCTCTCTGGATCGATTAAGGTCTCTCAAGGGAAAGTGTGGCCGCAAATGAAGGCCATAAGAGCCTTTAAATAGGCCACAAACCCGGACCATTAGGGTTTTCCTCAGCAGCGCTGACTCGGCGAGTCAGATACCCGACTCGTCGAGTCCATTCATTAAACACGTCACCAAGCTGCGATCCCACTCGACGAGTTGACGCACAAACTCGTCGAGTCCACCCAACATTCTTAAGATAAATGCATAAATTAATATACCTGGAAGACCGGATGTTACAGAAACCCCCACACAAATTTTCAAACACCTCATGCATTTGAAACGCCCACATCGTTTCACCTTCAAACTAATTAATAACACATCACACACTTTATATAACTGCAATTTTAAGCTATGAATGGAACTATGGATGGTGAATTTAGAGCATGACATGAAAGAACAAATGATTTTGCTCCTACGCACTTTTAAATATGTTCCCAAATGAAAATTTGGTAAGAATGATGAAACAAAACCTACTCCTGCATGGTAATTAAATCTTTTATGTCATTAATTTCATACCTTCCACTCCTTTAGTTTGCTCGTGTTGCATAGTAATTAAATCCCTTTATAGCATTCATTTCATAACTGCCACTCATTTAGTTTGTATAATTTCAAAGCAGACACTATAACCTAGCAATGAATCAAAGTTGTACGATCATCAGTCGGTGAAGGCAATATTTTCTACCGGAGTTAAAGTCTCAAGATAGAATATCAAAAACTTTGCATTTCATATAGGTTTCCAGAACTATATTTGTTCCAGTCTTACTAAAGAATGCTAGAACATGAGGTCTACCCACAACTCTTGAAGAATTTGAAATTCCAAGAATGAAAGAAGATTTAAAACCTTTAAAAATGAAGGAGAAACTTGAGCATAGATATTTAATGGTGGAAATTCACAAGTTCTACAAAGTGTACAATGAAAAAATGTGAAATTAGATGTCTTAAATTACCAAACATTGCAAGCAATAAGTAAGTTCTCTAATCCTTTTCAACAATTTTCAAAAAATGTGATTCAATACATGTGGGGTTTACTTAAGAAACTAAACACATACGACCACAAATGAGAACCCATATTTAATCATTTATCTAATAATTACATTAGATACTAATCTGTACATAAACATTACATTTACAATTTTAAGCTAATAATAATTTTGCATTATTTATTAGTATAAATTATTTGTAAATCAAAAAATATACACACTATTTAATCGTATACAACCTTTATGTACAGCCTATTCAGAATAGATTAAATCATATCAATTATAATGTAATAATTTTGTTAATTGGAGTATGTTAGCATCTTATTTATTTTAAAATCATAACTCTCAATTAACCATATGCTTAAAAATAATATTAACTATTTATTTTACCAAAATATATATAACCGTATTAAACTACATAATTATTCCACTGCACAACGCGCTGACATTCTTTATCCATATAAATCCAAGCACATGTGATATATAATTATTTGGTTTACCGGAATAAAGTCCTTAATAAATAGGATAAGGTTTGTCATTTTGTCATCTAACTTTTATAATATTTAATTTAAATCATTTAAAATAATTGATTATTAAACCGTTTTGTGATTACAAAATACCTTTTTCTTCTAATTATTAGGTTTACATATAAGGTATGAAGTATTTAGAAAGGAAAGTACTTAAACCAACATTTGTTTTTCAATTCATTATTCATATATTGAATATATAATATATAATATTTGAAATATAATATACCATTGATGAGGAACAACAAAGGGAAACAACAATAAAAGGGAAGACAGCAGAAACACTGATACCGACGAAATAAACAATATGCCAACACCAGCTATTCCTACAGTGGATCTCTCACCATTCTTCACAGCCGGAGATGATGAGTCTGGCCTGAAAAAATGCAAAGACTTGATAGCGGAAGCCTGCGGTGACTACGGGTTCTTTCAAATAGTGAACCATGGCGTCCCACTTGATCTCATGAACCAAGCAATGGAGCTTTCCAAAGCATTTTTTAGGTACTTGGATGAGGTGAAACGTGAGTGTAGTTCCAGCCCAGATTCACCACTTCCTGCTGGCTACAACAAGCAGCCAGATCACTCACCTGATAAAAACGAGTATCTGCTCATGTTCCCACCTGAATCACCTTTCGATGTCCTCCCTACCAATCCACCTAATTTCAGGTAAATGTTACATCTAAATGTTTTTTTTTAAATTTACAATCAACATTAGAACAGTAACAATGGTATAGAAATCTTGTTAACTCTCCAACTGATCAACTCACTCAAAGTCAAACAACATCCCTTTTGATCATGGTGTCCAAGAGACATGGCAGTTCGAGGAGCTTTTGAGGTCTGATGGCGGAAACACCGAGAATGGCCGTTCAGTTTCACCTACAGCCACACACGACCAACAACACCACACCAACGTGTGTCACTTTGGAAAACTCACAATTAGTATTTTATTGTTTGTTTCTGTTCATAACTCAATTGTACATAATTTGTTTTATCTTGGCAATGTATTTAAAATAAGTAAATAACGATATACAGATTGTAATTTCGCCTAATGTTTTCATTAATTTGAAGGAAAATATTAGAAGAGATGTTCAAATATTTCTTGAAGACAGGCGAAATATTAGAGGCCATAATATTAGAGGCCTAATGTTTTCATTAATTTGAAGGAAAACTTGGTCACCATTGTTCTACAGGAAGACATCGGAGGTTTAGAGGTATGCAAGGATGGGGAATGGATTCCGGTAATCCCTTCCAAGGGGACTCTGGTTGTCAACTTAAGCGATGTTATCCAGGTAATTAACACTATTCAGCTTCAAATACCAACAAGTGCATCATATGTTTTGCAGTTGTTAACGGTGATATTTAGAGGTGTTAAGCAATAAGAAATTTAAAAGTGCGACTCATAGAGTAGTGAGACCAAAGGGAAGACACCGGCATTCATATGTATTTTTCTATAACTTGCAAGGAGACAAGTGGGTTGAGCCATTGCCCAACTTCTGTAGTGCAATCGGAGTAAAACCCAAGTATAAAGGATTTTATTACAAGGATTACCAGGCTTTGAGGATGAGAAACAAGACACACCCACCATCGACACCCAAAGAAATCATCCGCATCGCTCACTACGAAATTTAGTAATCCCATACATAATAAAAGATTGTTTGTTTTCTTGCTTTCCTTGTTTGTGAGATTATATTTTGGTACGTTTATAAAGTTGGCAAACAAGACTCTTTATAGTCTATAACCTTAAAGTAATTTCTGGTTGTGTAAAAAGCTATGTAAACTAAGTTGTTCTAATATTAATTTTTTCTTAAAACAACTAACAAATCCTTTTAATCCTACTGCTAAATCTACAAATTTTCCACCACGGAACATGGACCCTTAGCTTATTTTCCGGACCAAACATTTCCAATACACTAAAACCGCCGGGATAAAGTCATTAGGTAGTGTTTCTAATATTGCTACAATTATATTTCTCTATATAACCAAGAACCGAGCTCCTATAAAAAATTGGTCCGATTCTAGATTTTGGGTTTGCTGGTTATTACCAACTTTTGGCCACTCCTTTATAAATTGGAATCAAAATCAATATTTATATTTGTTTTTAACAAAAATTGTTCCTTTAGCACATGTTTCGTTGTATCTTATAAGTTATCTTCAAGCTAGCACCAAATTTGATGTTACCATTATTTTTGGACAAAATTATAAAAGTCGTCCATCTGTTTTGTCAAAAATTACTACTTTGGTCCAAAAGGTTTTGGACAAGTACCAGCGGTCCAAAACTTTGATTTTTTTGGTAAATTTGATCAAAAAAATCTGAAACTATTTATAATGACGGATTTACCCGTTCTATTTTATTTTCTTAACGTTTTTTATTACAAAAATTAGATAAAAAATAAGAAACAAAAATACACACCTCTCTCTCTCTCTCTACAATATTCATCATGGCATCTTCCACCTGATTTAAACACCAAAACGCCACCACCAACTGACGACACCGTCGACGCCACCCTATTTGGCTAACCAACGTCGTTAACCACCCTTTTTCCTTCATTCGCAAGGATCGTCGCCCTTATTCTCAGCTCTACGTCTCTAGAAACCCGAATTCACTTACAACGTTATCGGAGAAAAAGGATCGGGATACAAGATCAATGGGGTACAAGTTGCCTCCGTCAAGCAATCAATTAGTAAAAGGACCGGTGGTTGGGTTTTATTGCCTCCGACAGGTGGTTGGGGCGGCGTTCTGATTTTCTGTATGTGTCTATCTTCGTCTCCATCCTTCCGACGACGGCTAGATCTAAAAGATGTTAGAACCTCAGAGCGTCACCTCTATAACTAACGATGTCACCACTGTCCTTTGTCTTATTCGATAGTTGAACCCTACATTCTTCGAAGACGTCATCTCGTTCAAACGAACTTCATTGTCACAAATCTGGAACACCACCTTCACTGTCGGTGTCATCTTGTTCAGATGAACCACCGCCGATTCTCAATAGATATATAAGTCATTGCGATGGTACCCTATCGTTATCATCATAAAGGTACAAATCCAATGAAAGATCTGACGTGGTAGTTCAATAAGCAATGGAGAGAGAGAGAGAGGTAGAGAGAGTGTGTGTAACGCCTGGTTCCTGGTAGGTATTTTAAATAAGAATTCTCATTTTTGCAAAGGGACTCGACGAGTTGGAGGCCCCAAACTCGTCGAGTAGAAATGGGAATAAGTTTGGACGCGGGTTGAGAAACCTACTTGACGAGTTGCGGAGGACCAACTCGACGAGTTGGAGCTGGTAAATGAAACCATAATTTCGGGTTTACACCCTATTTAAGCATCCTATTCTCCACTTGTTGGCCTCATTTGCTGCCTCCATCGTCATAAACCCTAGCTAAGAAAGCCTAATCCACCCTTGAGTGTTTTGGAGCCATTATTGTATGTTCTTGGTGATCTTGAAGCTTGAGAAGGAAGGAGAAGGTTGAGGATTCAAAAGGAAGTCAGTAGATCCAGAGTTCAAGCCAGATTTCATACTCATTTGAGGTATAAAGCTTATACATTGGCTTTCTATCACTTTGATCCTCATTTAGGATAGTATGTTGTCACTTTTGGACCATTTTGAAGTCATTGTCGGGATTTGAGTGTATTATGGAGTTGTGACTTCAGATCTAGGCACATATGAGCTCATGAAGCTCAAAGTTGCCAGCTTTATTAGCCCATGGCCTTTCTCCATGCCCTAGATCTCCTTTATTGCTTGGTTTTTGGTGTTTCTAGCTCATAACACCATGCATGGGCGTAAAGTTAGCAACTTTACGTATTATGATAGCCTTAGGGAACCAGATCTATGATTTAGAAGTGTTGGAATCGATTGGAATCGATTGAATAAGTAAGGGCTAAGAGGAAATCGACGACTTGCTCATGCAACTCGGCGAGTTGGATCGTGATTCCCTACTTTTCTGACTCCAGACCAAACCCCAGTGAGTTTAGGAGATGAATCAGTGAGTGGATAAGGTTCTCCGAGTTTTAAAGATTAAGGAACTCGTCCAGTGCAAGGAAGAACTCGACCAGTTGTTCCAGTTTGTCTCGACTTTGTATGAAAGAGAACTCGGCGAGTTATGAGTTAAATGTTCTGACTCGGTTTAAAGGGGAACTCGACGAGTTCATGAAAGAACTCGATGAGTAGGATCGAGATTTCCTGAGTTTCATGGATCAGGAACTCGACGAGCTGATAGACCAACTCGGCGAGTTGAGTCAACCAGAATTTTGACTTTGACATTGACTTTTACCAAGGTTGACCCTTAGAGGGTTATGAAGTTTAGAATGGATGCTAGAGGGTAGTCCCATGTAAGGGTTGGGGTCCAATTTGGAAGATTGGGCCATTGGTGGGCCATTAGTGAGATCTTATGGATTTTGGAGTTTAAGACTTGATTGATTTTGGACTTGGGCCTTAGCTAAGTATCTTGTGGGCCAGGGGTAAAATGGTTATTTTACCCAAGTAAGGATTATGGATAATGATTTGGAACCCAATTGCTAATTGGGTGATGTTTTGGTATTGATAGCCCAGCGAGTTGCCAGGACAGCAGGTAAGGATTTCCTTCAATGGACTTTAGCAGTGTGAGGTGAGTTACCTTCCAGTAGAAGTGGGTCTAAGGCACTAGGGTCGGCCCACTAGTAGGAGATTATAGTTGAGACGATTGTCTTCGTGATAATTGTCTGGTATGCCACTATATGTTCTGTTTTATGTGCTAGTATGCTATGTGATTATGTGGTAGTGGTAGGTAGGGGACTAGTCCCCGAGTCCGGTGTAGATAAACCGATAGGGTAGGTCGGGCACCCAGATATGTGTGGCCGTATGTGTATGCTATGTTATTATATGATAGTGGTAGGGGTGTAATAGTCCCCGTAGCCGATTGAGATAAACAGGAGGGTAGGTCGGGCACCCTAGAATTATCTGGCAGGGTAGGTCGGACACCCCAGATGTGTCGGTAGGTCGGGCACCCTAGAATTGCCCGGTAGTTTGTTTGTTATATCATATGTGGTATGATGGGGGAACTCACTAAGCTTCGTGCTTACGATTTTCAGATTTGGTTTCAGGTACATCGTTCTTAAAGGAAAGGAGTCGGCTCGATCGCAGCGCATCACACAATGTTTTCCGCACATGAAATCTTTGGCATTACACTCTGATGTTGTTTATGATAACATGTTTTGATTATTGACACTTTGATTTTGACATGGGATGTTTTTATAATGTTGGTTTTATGAATTATTAAACTAAAAATAAAGTTTTTGGTCTTAAATTTTGGGATGTTACAAGTTGGTATCAGAGCCTTGGTTTGAGGGATTCAGACATACTTTCGGGTGTGTCTGAACTCAAACTAAGTACTTGGTATGAAAATTTTTAAAGGAGAATCATTTTTATAAAAAGGGTTTTAAAAAGAGAAAAAAAGGGTGATGCGTGCAATCGAACGAGCTCGAGTGAGTGGTTCCCAAAGTACCAATACATGTTTGTTATGTGATATGATTATGTGATTAGCATGCTAGATTAGAGCTAAGGAACTAGGAGAGATGCATTTGTATGCTTACATGAGCTTGTAGATTTGCATGCTAGAACTAATCAGCCAGTGGTAGGATGGCATGTTTAGGTTATGCCTGATTATATGAGCCTTTCAATTGCATGTAGAGATTCCTGATTAGAGGATATAAAGGTTTGATTGGAGTATGTTGGTTATATTTTCCATTGTCTGAATGTTGCTTGCTCTGTGCTTTGTGAGACCCTTAGTGATGTGAGTTAGCTACTAAGTGAATATGCTAAGTCACATGGGACACAGGCCAGATAATCTTAGAGTGATGGACTTAACCCTATTGCGCAACTCTTGTATGAGTCCAACCGTTCTAGGGACTAGTCTTTTACTCGAAGGATTATCTGATCTATGTTGCATATGGCTATGTTCATGAGGTAGCTAGTTGACATTACTGCGAATCTTTCAGCAGTTGAGGACTAGGTGGGTTCGGGAACCTAAGAAAGCCTAGGATATGTATTAGTGGGTTAGTAGTGAGGTTTAGTGAGACTTGGGTGCATCAGTTGAGGAAGTGACTTAGAGGATTCGGGAGGATTGCTGAGGAAAGTATGGATAGGTGTAGAAGGTAGTGTTGGGCCCGTACTACTGAAAGCACAAGATCCATACTCGAATCGGTGAAAGTCTTGGAGAATCTGAGAAGCTTCGGGGAGGAGAATCTTTAAGTATTTCTTGATCAGTGATTTTGTGGTTTTCAGTTTGGAGATGAGCACTCAGGGAGATGGTTCTGGTTCAGAATTCGGTCTCGGATCAGGTGGTGAGCCAGTCGGGGGAAGGACTGCCAAGATTTTGAGTTCGTGTTGGATTGAGGAGATGGAAGGTGTTTTCCGCACTAGTCCCTATCCTATAGGAGACAAGGTTCGGTTCGCTTTGGATCTCCTGTATCAGAAAACAAGGAGCTGGTGGGAATTAATTGCACGATCTATTGCGCTCTCTGAGTTGGAGACTATGTCTTAGGAAGAGTTTGTGACCCGGTTTTGGGCAGAGGATGTTCAAGCTGTTGCAGTCAGCCATTGGCAAGTGAGCTAGTGAGCGTGACAGGGTGTCAGACCCTGGAGGATATGACTTCC